TAGTTACTGGGGAAAGAAACCAATTGCAAGTAGGCAATTCCAAGTAGCTACTTCCAAGGTCTGATCACAATGGCTTCGGATGGTCCAAAATGCGGCAGCCAGGCTGCTAGCGGGATCATCTATAAGATCCCATATTACACCGATTCTGCAACAACTGCATTGGCTACCAATAGAACATCGGATCTCTTACAAGATACTGATCCTGACATTTAGAGCTCAAAATGGCCAAGGACCTTTATATCTTAGGGACCGCCTCATTCCTTTTCCCCATCGTGGTCACCTCGATCCACCCAGGAAAATCTCCTATACATACCGGGTCCTAGGGAGGCACATTTGGAAGCTACAAGGCGTAGAGCTTTTTCGATCTATGCTCCAATTCTGTGGAACTCATTGCCTCCATATATTAGAGCAATGTCGGAGTTGCGACCTTTTGTAAAGGCGCTCAAGACTTGGCTGTTTGGTTGTGCATTTAAGTAATCGGATCAAATTTTGCCATAGTCACTGCTGAATGTTTTTATGTTGAATGTTTTTATGCTGAATGTTTTTATATTGAATGTTTTATATTGTGTATAAGCTATTTTAAATTGTAAGTCGCTCGGAGCACTTTGGTGGAGAGCGACTAATTAAGAAATAAAGTGATGATGATGATGATGAACCACAGACTCAGAGATTCCTGTAGTACTGGCACATTCCAATTGCGATGAGTTTCAAGTTTCTGGTGCAATGCAAACCAGCCCTTGAACTACCCCATTCCAAAAACTATTTCAATGAGGATAACTTTAATAATATTTTCCAATGTTCCCCTTCATTTTTGCAGCTCTCCACTTGTGCACCACACTTTTCATGTTAACGCAGGGCCAAATCAATTATTAAATGCATTCTGTGCACATAGCGTGAAGGGAACGGACGCTATAGGATGCTCTGACTTTCAAGTCAGGATGCTGCTGCTGCTTCTGATCCTGGGTTCTGATAAATGCAGACTCCTTTGCATTTTGAGAAAATTGAGAGTTGTGAATAGCAATGACAACAACAACTGGGAAATAAGTAGACATGTTCTTTGCTGTACTGCTTCCACATGAAACAAAACATTGCCTTTCCTCCCTCCTCAGTTGGAATATTTCAGTCCATGAACTAATCTGGTTTAATAGAATCCAGCTGCAGTCCCTATTTGCTTTATGCAGTTTATTGTAGACACTCTACATTACTGCCAGAGATAGAAGCTACTTGGGGCTGAAATAGTCTATTCCTCTGCCAGCACTCAGGCTATGCCTTGCAAAGGAAGAATGCACCACACGCTGTTCTAGCTTATCTGTGCCAAAATCAGGATCCAGGCTGAGTGGGGCAAAAGGCAGAGTGGAAGAGAAAAACAGCTAGTTTAGAATTAAGGGGCCCATGCGGACCCTCCTCTTCAGGTTATATTGATTGCAGGAATGCTCTTTAGACAGAATTATTCATTACTTTACTTTCTCCAAAATGCTGGGCCGTATGCCTCTGCGCCAAAGGCCCACTGTGAGGATGCCAGTGGTAATAATACTCAGACTTGAGATACTAGCACGGTCCCAAAGCAAACAGCTTGATAGAGGAAGAGCACATTATTCAGCACAAGCATTTGCTAATGTGACCACAAGTCATAACAAAAGTCTATGGACGTTGACCCACAGTGTTCCTCATGCTTTGAGGGCCTGTTATGGGTTTCCCAGTACGTATCTTGAAACTTTTATTGGAATCTAAAAAAAAATCCAATCCCTTGGAGGTGTCAACCTCATTTTCATGGAGGGCCACATCAACCTTATGATTGCCTTCAGAGGGCGGTTAAATCCATGGATGGATACAGAAGGCCGACCATACATTTTATATGTAGTTGTCACTGTGCTTTAGTTTTTACCCAGTTTGAGTACCCAGATGTTATCGAATGACAACTACCATCACTTTTGATTATCTTCCATGTAGACTGGGGATAATGGGAACTGCAACCAAATGGTACTTGTGGATCAGAGGTTGAGGAAAGGCTAAAGTACATAGTAAAGTCAGACTTCATATCCAAAGCCTTGCATCTGAATTCAGACTCCACTCCCCGAACTAAAGAGAACAAACAGCAGCCTTTCAGCATAACTGGCTCCACAGATGGTGTCAGGAAGAACAGTTTGGCTTTCTGGACCATGGTATGCTCTACCAGGGAGATGGTCTACTGGCACGGGATGGGCTGTACCTCATAGAAGTAGGAAGGAAAGTTTTTGATCAGAGACTGGGAATCCTGATCAGGCGGACTTTAAACTGGGTTGTGTGGGGGAGGGTGACATTATCCTTGGGAGCAGTAGTTTATCAAGGCCTGGAGTGAACAAACAAAAGGCTAAAGAGAGGGTTGGACAAATACAACCAGTACCAAGCAGCGAAGGGACAATAATCTCAAATAAACAGCTGAGGGGAATGTCCCACGGCCTTAGATGTCTTTACACTAATGCTCAGATCATGGGAAATAAACAAGATGATCTGGAACTCTTAGCACAACAAAACAGTTACGATGTAATAAGCATAACTGAAACCTGGTGGTTGGACGAGTCCTATGATTGGTATGTAGCAATAGGGTATAACCTATTTCAGAGAAATAGACCAAACAGGAGAGTGGGTGGAGTAGCATTATATGTCAAAAATATTTACACCTGAGATGCAAGACTTCAATCCTGGAAACCAGGTTGAAAGCATCTGGATAAGAATTGAGGGAACAAGGATTGTAAAAGGTCTTAACTCGGAGGTTAAGATCTTCTGGGGAGGCCTTGCTCTCGGTCCCACCTCCTGTGCAGGTGCAGTTGATGGGGATGAGGGACAGGGCCTTCTCAGTGGTGGTCCCTCAGCTGTGGAACTCCTCACATCAGCTACCTCTCTCCTGACCTTTAGGAAGAAATTAAAAACATGACAGTGGGACCAAGCCTTTGAACAGTAAACTAAGTGCAATAAGTGATACGGAACAAGTGCAATTACGCCCAGAATGGCTCCTGGACCATGATTTTGGATTGTGTGGTTTTAATAATTGGTTTTAATGTTTATATGTTTTTAACTTTATGGCTTTTAATGCAATTGTTTACTTTATTTGTATATCTGTTTTATGCAGCATTACATTTTTGCCTACTGTAAGTCGCTCTGAGTTCCCTTCGGAGTGAGAAGGGAGGGGTATAAATATAGTAAGTAAGTAAGTAAGTAAGTAAATAAATAAATAAATAAATAAATAGAAGATGTAGCTGTGGGGATCTACTACAGACATCCAAGCGAGATGGAAGAACTGGATGAAGCCTGCTTGACCAGATGACCAAATATGCAGAAAGAAGAGACATAGTAGTAAAGAAGAGACATAGTAGTTATTTATCGTATCAGGAGTGAACCAAGGGTACAACTGTAATGTATTTAAAAAACAAACAAAAAAACCCACAGTGTTTGAAAACTTGACATGTTCTATGATCTATGATCTATGTTCTATGATCAGAAGCTGGCCACTTCTGGCAGAAAAAATGAGTGTAGTGTCTAGATAGAGGGATGTCATCATGACCTTGTATTCTGCTTTGGTTAGATCTCACCTGGAATGCTATATCCAATTTTGGGCACCATAGTTCAAAAGAGATATTGACAAGCTGGAAGGTGTCCAGAGGAAGGTGACTAAAATGATCAAAGGTCTGGAAATCATGAATCCCTATGAGGAGCGTCTTAAAGAACTGGGCATGTTTAGCCTGCAGAAGAGAAGATTGAGAGGAGACATGAGAGCCATGTATAAATATGTGAAAGGGTGTCATAGGAAGAGGGAGCAGGCTTGTTTTCTGCTGCCTTTGAAACTAGGACTTGGAGCAATGGGTTCAAATTACAGGAAAGGAGATTCTACCTGAACATTAGGAAGAACTCCCTGACCATATGAGCTGTTCAACAGTGGAACTCTCTGCCTCAGAGTCTGGTGGAAACTCCTTCTTTGGAAACTTTGGAAACGGAGGCTGAATGGCCATCTGTCAGGAATACTTTGATTGTGCTTTTCCTGCATGGCAGGGGGTTGGACTAGATGTGGTCTCTTCCAATTCTATTCTTCTATGATTCTAGATGTGACTGTATCCCAACTTCCATCAGCTTTAGTCATGATGATGTGCAGTGATGAGGAATACAAGAGTTGTAGTCACATCAAAAGACATGGCAGGCTGGATTTGGCCCATGGAGACCGGATTTGACACACGTGTTTTAAAGCATGGTTGGAAGCAAACAAAAATCTACACTATATGGAAAGTATTATTACCCTGGCCAACACACATTTTGGTGCCTCAAATGTTAGCCCTATTTCTGGGTCACTGTAATCTACTGATTCCAAAAACGGCATCAGTTTTCTCCTATCCACTCTTATTTTTTGAGATACAAAACAAAATATGACACCTACTAGTCACCATCTGTTTGTCCATAGAAAACCAGAATAACCTATCTAAAAAACTAGAGCTGATGCTGTCCATCCAGTGCAATTGTCTGAATCAGTGTCCCAAATAACCTCAGGAGCAGGCCTATAAACCAAGACACCAAGGAAATGTTTTGTTGTCATTGGGCTGTGTCACCATTCCATCTCCAATCCTTTGAGAAGTGACCATGGTGCCACGCCAGGGCCCAACGTTTTTCCTCTGCTTGCCCAGCCTGGCTTCAAATCTTGCCGCAGGAGTGGTTCGTGACGGCCTACGTCACCCTTGCAGTCTGCTTCTGCGGCTTCCTCTTCAGTTGATTGCAATACTGATTATTCCATTTCCACCAAGTCAAGAACCTCCATCTCCTCAAGTCACAAGATGTCTCTCTATGGAAAATGGGATTCGGATAAATTATTACCTGCGCCTTATTACCCGACACTGATGCATGAGGAGCTAATTACAGAAGAGGCAGCATTTTTGAATAAACTTAAGGACACATTCAAGCAAGTCAGCTGTAACCATTTCAGTCCTGAATCCTGTACCCCAAATGTCATCTGGAGAAATTAACACCGGGACAAAACATGGGCCAAATCATTTATTGATTGCATTTTGTATTTAGGCAAAAGGTGCAAATTGAGAAAATGAAAAAGGATCATCTTTTCAAAAAGAACATGGAAATGTCTTTGTGAAAACTGTTTCATTTCAGTCAACCAAACAAACTCTGTCCTGTCAACACACAGGGGCTGTGACTTTCACTGTATCAAGTGAGTGAAAAGCCACATTGACCACTTTGGAGTTGTTAAGGTCTGCCTCTGATTTTAAAATATGCTACACCCCCCCCCCAACCCCTTTCCCTCATCAATTTTGCATTGCTTCGTATTTGTTTGCATTTTCAGTGCACTAAAAGAAATTAAAATTTGTACTGAATTGAATGTACATTGCCGTATGGCTTTTTATTAGACCTTGTATGTAGATTCTTTCCTGGATCGAGTGCCCACCGGCAGTATTGCAGTGGCTCTGTTTTTATTATTTATGGAAAGGGGAGGGGAATGTATTCAAACTCTTCATGCTATGTACATCTGATATACTTCTGTAGTACTTCCCACCTCGGTCCCTAAACTAAAAAGCTCCAAATATTTACCCTTTCCTTTGCTTAATTGGGGATCCTCGGTCACGAAGGGACAAATGTTCTCGAGATTCTATTCAATTTAGCAATTCACAAAGTAGGTCACGTCTTAGCCATGTTCACCCTCCGTAGCAATGTTTTACACGTATCAATAGGTTTCCGACTGATGCTTTAAAAATGGCAATTAAGAGCTTCGAGTTTAACTTAGACCAACACACAAAATGATGTTTAAGGCTCCACAAAATATGGACAGCACTAAAACTGGAAACGAAACCACCGTAATAAAGAGCAATTGCACTGTTTTGGTAAATGCACGCAGTTTAAAAAAAAGATTTAAATATATTCAAGAAAGTTAACATGCACTTTATATATACATGGCGCCCCCCACACTGTTTCAATCTCCAACTTTGGTCAAGGGGGGGAGATGTTCTGGCCCTCCAGAAGTTGCTGGATGGAAGCTCCCGTCAGTTCTGAGCAACACGGATGATGGGAGCTGTGCACTAAAACACATTCCCAACCCTGATAAAACAGGTACATTGTCACTTTTCAATGGCATTTTTTCACTTGGATGCAAATACATGAGTTATGAAGGCCAGTGGTTTTCCAACCATCTTCAATATGATGAATCTAATTATCGGATGAGCCGGGCTACTCAAATCCCACCTCTGATGGACACAAGAAGAAAGCAATACAAAAAATTATTTATTCTTTGATAATCCATTTAAGAATAAATGCTTCCATGATCTAGTAAACTGTATTCATGATCATCTGAAATCAACATTTCCGGCGGTGTACACCTGAGACTAGCGTAGCGGTGGGCAAAGCTGCAAGTCGCCAATGGTGAGAGATGATGGGAGTTGTAGTAGGACCACCTCTGGAGGGTCTCACATTGTGCACCTCTGGTTTTTACATAACATAGTCTAACTAACTTTGAGGGAAAGGGACAATGCCCCTCCAATGCATCTGGGGCTGCACCACCTGCTGCAGGGGAGCTGCTGAATTTGTTGTCATGCTGACAAAACATCCATAATTTCACACAAATGTGAACTGCACTTTGAGGAATCTTTGCCTTTCATTCAAAATTGGGGGAGGGGGGAGGTCCACCATACACATACCACAAAATTAAGTAACACAGCAGAAGGGGATGAGGCTGGTAGGAGTCAAATGTAGGTTACAGGTTAAATACTGTCCACCTACAGACATCCTTGGCAAATGGTACTCAATACACCCTCCCTAAGTTCCCAAATGCATGGCTTTGTTGTCATTTTAGCATGTTCTGCATGTACCAACATTACAACAATGGAGGATGCGGCCCAAAGCAATCACAGACAGTTCATGAGGACTCTGAAGTCTCATCTACCAAGTCCAAAGTATCCCCTTCCATGTTTTCCTTTGACTCTATGGAGGGATGACACACCACCTAAGGGCTCCTCTGCTCACTCAAATCAAACACATCTTGGATTACTGCACAGTGTAATGATAACATGTGCAGCCCAAAGAAGAATACATGCTGGTGTTTAAAGATGCACATGCCCCGATGCTCAAGGATGTGCACTTGCCTGAAAACTGCCTTTTTCTCTTTTGGTTCTAACTGCTTTGGAACACAGTTCATAACACGAACGAGGATGCTATGTTCCCAGTCTGGAGATGGTGTTGTGCCATGCTGCCGTCATAATGGGAACATTTTCTACCACAGTAGATGTCTGAGAAGAAGCCAACCCCTCCATCTCCACCCCCATTTATGTGTTTGTGTGTGTGCGCGTGCGTGCACATATGCTTCCCAAATTACCTACTTTAAGTTAACAGGCTTCTTTAAATTTGGAAGTGACCACACATAGCTGCAGGCGGCCCTCAGAGCAAATATTGCCCTTTGTACTACAAAAGGCCTGATTCCTGAAATTGCCATTAATGTTATCATATGCCATTGACACCCCCCCCCCCCCGGTGGTGCAGCAGGTTAAACAGTTGAGCTGCTGAACCTGCTGACCAAAAAGTCAGCGGTTTGAATCCAGGGAGTGGGGTGAACTCCCACTGTTAGGCCAGCTCCTGTCAACCTAGCAGTTCGAAACATGCAAATGTGATCTTGGAGGTGTCTATGGACAATGCCGGCTCTTTGGCTTAGAAATGGAGATGAGCACCACCCCCAGAGTCAGACTTGACTCAACTTCATGTCAAGGGGAAACCTTTACCTTTACCATACTACTGACCAAAGAATGGTACACTCTTTCTATATGGAATGGTTGTTCCCTTTCTTTCAATTGCATGAACTTCAGGAGGGATGTGCAAGTATTGAGGGACACCTGCCTAAGATCAGCAGAATCAATCCTGGCGATCAATGGAGTGACCTTCTCAGAGCCAGATCTCCTTCACATCCTGCTATTAATATTGTGAATATGGACTCCTAAGATGTTGTGTAACTACACATTCCAAAAGCCTTAGCCAGGCCAATCAGTAGTGAGGGATTATTGGAGTTGTAGTCCAAGAATATCTGGGGATCTGTGTTTAAGCATCACTGGCACAGAAGCTAAGCAGATAAGTAGACTGAATCCTACTGTTAGTTGTAATAATGTTGAGCCACCAATTCAGTGGGACTCACCTATATGTTGACTCACCGTTTAACTGTTCTCAGCTAACCAGCAGAATTCAGGCCATTAAATGTGACAGACACAAGAGAAAGACTAAAACTTCAGTCATTCTTGAGACTCATGGAATAGTAATTTAGAAAGAGTATCTTGTAATCAGATTGAGGAAAGGAATGAAAAAGCCCTGGCAATGAATTCTTAGCTACTCAGCCTTGCCCCATGGACTTAACTGCAGAGGGAAAAATTACATTGGATTTTAGGATTTCTCAAGTCCCCCAAGCTCTTGGCACAGTCTAACAAATGAACAGCATTTGAGAAATTATCTTAAGCTTTCTGCAGTTACAAAGAACGCACAAAATGCAATGGCCACTATTTTCCAAGTTCCCAGCTTAAAGCACAATATCGCTGTAGAACACAACCATTTTCATTGACTCTGAAAGCACGGTAAAACATGTGGAAGGAATATGATTTAACTGTGTGTTGCCTGGAGACAACAACAAGATATGGGATAGAAGATGAACAATGCTCAGAGTATTTCTCATTTAGCCTGTCCCAATTGTGCTGAAAATATCTTGACATTTCCTTATAGCAGGTTGGATTGAGTTCAATAGGGCTTATTCCCAGACAAATGGCTATAGGGTTCCTCTTTTGGCATGATGTCACTTGGGTGTTGGATACAAAGGGTGATTTAATAAATTAGTAAACAATAGAATCCCCGTGCAATTATAATCAGCGAGTTCTGTCCAAAAAAGCAACTCTGGGCAAAGGCTGAAAGAATAAATGCTGTCTTGCCTATGATCCCATGTATCGCAACACTAATACTTAGATATAGTCATACACAAAAAGCTGCAAAGTGATGCATACATTCAATCACCACAATGGGAAAGAGGGTTCCTCAGTTTCAACCTCCCTTTTCAATGTACTCTCCCCTTGCTTTAAAGGCAGAAGGGAGACAAACTGATTTTTAAAGACACTCTTGTCTCAGAAGCGTTTGGACGAAACAGTGAAGATCAAAGCATTCTATCTGTTTCATGACATTTCTAGCCCAATTCTCCTTAGCTGGGTTAGTGGTAAAAGATAACCACCTTTGCCATAGACTTTTATCAGGGCTCCAACATACAGAGCACCGCTTCAAGCACAAAGTGGTGACCCTATTTATGTCGATGTGAAGGTGGAAATGATTGCATACCATTTTCCCCATTGCTGAAGCATCACTTTGCTCCCATTCATTTGGAACTCTAAAACAACCAAGTTCTCCATAAGCAATTGGTGCCGGTGGATTGAATGAGCACAACATGACTGAAACTGAATTCTTCCTTTACATTGCAAAAGTTAAACCCAATGTTTGTCCAGGCTTCCTGAAATCAATGGGATTTAAGCAATGGTAATTAACAAGTTCCATGGATTTCATCAGATTTACTCTAAGTTGGACTATACCACTGGATTTAGCTCACAATTCAGTTTCCCAGCCATCCTTGCTCGAAGGAGAACTGCTGCCAATGCATTACATGATTATCCCAGAAACGATGTACATCCCACTGATAGCAAGTTAAATATTGGTGCCAAGCAATTCAGTAATCCATTTGAAAGTCGCTCGTAAGAAGTGTGTCCTGTTTCTTACGCGTAGAAAAGACTTCATGTCCAAATTATTCTGTTTTTGGATTTTGTGCCAAAAATATATATAAATGAGGTTTTGGTGGTTGCCAGAGTGTTTTATGCAACATCATTTAACAGTTTGCTCAGTGAAGATGACTACCAAGCCTTTCCCACCCCTAGAGTTCAATTGCTTGTCCTCCTCTCTGTTTATCTCCTTATTTCCTAGTGACCCGTTCAGACTGAAAGCTGTTAAACGTGCAGTTTGAACTGGTAGCTGCTTGTTTTCCATTGGTCGACGTCTGCATTTAACATGGTGCGCTCAGTGAAAGTGACGTGCCCTTTTGCATCAATGAGAATGATGGTATTTGTCCTGAAAAGGGGGGAAAAAAAAGGAAGAATGAGATTATACAGTAGTGTCATGTAACTATTTCCCGGCCTTCTTCCTTTATTTTTCTGTCCTCAAGCGATAACCAGAGCAACATTTCAGGCAGGTGAAGGGTCAAAAAGGAAGGAGCAAAACATTATTCTGTTCCTCCCTCCTGTTTTCTCACTGCTGAATTTGGGCTCCTTAGTATTCCTTTGCTGCTGACTGAGCTTACTGATGCCAGTTCCAAAGAGCGCTTCAGGGGGATGTGTACAGAAAAGGCATGAAAAGCCAAAAGGGAAGGCGAAGGTGAAAAGGTTTAATTGTCATATCCGGAGCAATCCTAGCTTGGAAATACATTTTATCTGGCAATGGCAGAGCTGGCTCAAATGACATCCAATGCACATTGCATTATATTTTCCCCACCTTCACCTTACAGCAGCTCACTTAATCCTTCCTCTGATCTCAGCCACCGGAGCTGTTTCCCCCCCATCAGAACAGTTAAAAAATAATGTTCATTATCTAACTCTAATAAATATTTATTATAACTATTTCTGCAAATCAGTTGTCCCACCTTCACTCATTTACGTCTCAATCAATTCCCATCAGAGTCATGGAGCTCTGTTCACGCCCGTGCATTTACTCCAGGGTAACGTCAAATATTTATTAAGAAAAGCAGGGTGTCTTCTGCGTGCTGCAACAACAGAAAAGACTCTTGTGGCAACCATGTATTGAGGCGTGAATTGTTGCAGGCATGGTTCCACTTCAGCAGCTTTATACAACGCATTGAGTCATCTTTAGAGATGTCACAAAGCTTTTCTTTTTCCTGCTTCCATGCATTACACTGACTGCTTACTTGCAGAACAAAACTAAAGCCTGATGATTTATTTACTAGAGGAGTCCATTCAATCAATACTTTTTAGAAAAACCCTGGGGTCTCTTGGGGTCCCAACTCTGACTTTCCAGCCCTCTTCAGATAACCACACTCTACTCAAGTAACACCTTCTCTGGGTAGTTTTCTGACTCTAGAAGAGTGAGGGACACCCCCAGTAGTTACTATCAGTTAAAGGTTTTAGGATAAAATATGCTGGCATTTCGGGCTCTACCCTTTGCCTTCCACCACTGGAATGCCACTTCTAAGAAATTATGTTTTACCTGGTTCCATAATCTGGGCAACGGACGCATATGGCTGCATACTTGTTCAGGATGGGGAGGATGTACTCCTTTCCCTGATCTTCAATGGCTGGGTCTGGCAACTGACTGGAGAGAAGTCAAACAAAAGGAAGGGGTGACTTGTGACTGCTCTCCAAGCACCCACTTTCCACTCCATGCACCCAGAATACTTTCCACAAAAGCACATGCTAGGATAAGACGGCAGCAGGGCAAGCACCAAAGAGATATTTAGGTCCAAGAAGAAGAACAAAAACGAGGCCCCCAACTCAACCATGTCAAGGTGCATACTATCCCAAGTCACCCAAATTAAACTGGCACAACAGGCGGCAAATCCTATCAGCTCACCTTGATTCCTCTTTGGTAGGATGATCGCAAGAACTAACAAGTTGCAGCCCTTTTATGATATCCAGAATCTATTGTCCAAGAGGTGCCTCCTAAAGCTTGAATGCTCCCCAATGCAATCTGTTGTCAAGGAGCACTTTACAGATTTGTTCCATAGCTTTATTTGGATATGTAATAGTGGTGCAGGTAAAATATTGAAGTCCAGGAGCTCAATCAGATGCACACACATGAAACAGGCTTCCGGAGAGACCAAAAATTTACCCTAGTTATTACGTTTTTTCCCCCAGTGATGCGCCCCCAAGTGGTGAACGACATCTGTTTTACATAGCACAGAGATTTCCTCATATCCATGGGTTGGATTTAGTGTGCTTTGTTTTATGAGTGATCACCGAAAGATAAATATAGAATTAATGTGCATGTCTGGTTGCTGAGGCATCTATCTCTGAAGAGTACTGATGATGGAGAGAAAACACAAGGAATAATAATCTCCCATCATTTTGTATATGTATGTGTATTCAAACATGTCTTTGCATGTAGATAGTGGCTGGAGAGACCAATCCCTTGTTAGCTATGGCAAAGCACTGCCTAAATGGGTAGCAGGAGCCTAGAATCAATTAACTGGTTTGTGGAGGCGGGGAAGAAGACCTTTTTGATACTGGAAACATGGTTATCTTTAACTTTTGCTCTCCTGTATCTCATTTCTCCTCTCTGAGTCCTTTCCTCTCGCTTTTTACACCTCACATGGTCCTATGGCTACATGGTCCTATGGCCCTTACCTGGCCCTCCACAGCCCTCGCAATGGAGCCATCTTCTCCTATTTCTCCATTCTAACCATCCTCCCATCTTCCCGAGCCCCTTTCACCAATCTTCAACCCCCGCAGATGCCCAAGGTCTCCACAGCCATCGAATCCTCCTTGGCATCCATGGATCCCCATGCATGTGCCTCCCTCTCCCCATGCATACTGGGCCTCCACAGTTATCAGGTTCCCCCGGTATCTGCGGCCCCCTCATGTGTGTTTTTGTTTAATATTTCTATATTTTATGTCTTAATATAAAATTCTGAAGAATGAAGCCACCGTGAAAAACCTTGGTGACCTTTTGTCAGCACCCCTTGACCTGGGAATTCCCTCCAGCAGTTTTCCCAGTTATCACCTACTTACAAAGGACTCAATCACCCATGATCTGTGACCCATACCATTGGTGGTGCAAGAGACAAGAGGCTTCAGAGTCAAACCACCTGTTCTTTGTACAGCCACATGGACATATGAAAAGACATTTATCACCTGGCATTTCCTTCCCTGATGTTGGGATGACTTGCCCTGCTCTCCACAATGACATTTCCCCTTTCACAGCAACGGATTCTCTGATCTCATCGTTTTAGACCAGTGGTTCACAACCTGTGGGTCCCCAGATGTTTTGGCCTTCAACTCCCAGAAATCCTAACAGCTGGTAAACTGGCTAGGATTTCTGGGAGTTGTAGGCCAAAACACCTGGGGACCCACAGATCGAGAACCACTGCTTTAGACAACATGCTGCTTTGTAACACAATGGACACTGGTGTAGAGTCACCAGACCCATATGGTCAGGGCTCATAAAGACAATCATTACAACAGTAGAATTAATGGGACCCGAGGGCCCATCTTAGTTTGTCCTGGAGTTGGGACACTGTTACTCATTCAGAAAACTATATTTCCTTTGTGTGCTATTGTCTCCTGCCCCCTTGCCAGCCATTGGAAAGCACTGGAAGAGCCATTGGCATTGGAAGCAGGGAATGCTCCCTGATTGGCTGGTGGGTGCTGCAGTCCCACCTCACAGAGGGAATCCCTCCAAAGTGGTCATGATGTCAGAGTGGCTTCGCCAGTCAGCACAGAGCCAGCTACACCTGGGGTGGGAGCGGGAAAGACAATGGATTTGAATGTATAAAACTGCATGTTTGACTTGTAAATTGTATCTCAGCTTACGTTGGTGGATTACTGTGAGCTGGCTTCACTTTCAGCTGGAAATGAAAGGAGAAGCCTCTGGCTTTGTTTGTGTTTGTTTGTCTCATTGTACTGTAACAAGGCATTGAATGTTTGCTGGGATCTGTTTACACTGTAATCCTCTCTGAGTCCTCACGGGGAGAAGGGCGGAATATAAATAAAGTGTTGTTGTTTTCGTCAGAACAACTGTATCCTTCCAAATGTCACTGTATCCCAACTCTATCAACTGTAGTCTTGATAATGTCCAATGATAAGGAATACAGGAGTTGGAGTCCATCTGGAGGGCTATGTACAAGGATATGGCGGGCCATATTCAGCCCATAGGCCTTGAGTTGGACACATGTGACTTACTGAATCAATTGTTGAATAGTAACCACTTTGTAAATCCTATTGATTCAATACGTCTGCTCTAGTTAAGACTAACAATTAGATTTAGGAGCTTTCTTGCAACCCCTAAAAGTAATAACGAAAGAAAATATAACTCTGGTAAATGACTTCACAGCTCCTGCTTTGAAGAAAACAAAACAAGCTGTGTTTTCCCACATTCCTGCTCCACTATATTTATTTGTATTGCCATTCAATTAAAAGAACCTTAAAACCACATGAGCTGTAGTATATAATTCATTACCTGATTATGCTAATTTTCATATTAATAAAACAAGAGTTTTGAAGCAAACTGTATTGTGTCAAGGGTTTTCTTCTGTGCTAGTCTTCCAATGATTCATGCCTGGGTTCCAGCCGAGTCCAACTTAGAAGCACAAAACAGTGGCAAGAAGGAATGTCGCCAATGAATGCCAGGTGCTTTAGGAGATATTTCATAGAAAGGAGCTGGCAAAACACCTTCTGAGGATTCCTTGCCTGAGAAAAGCCCAGGAAGTCTTTTAAATCAGACTTCATTTTTGGGATATTTTGTATTTTGTGCATTCTCAAAGTTGTGCAAGCAAATACTTGGTACAGTATTGGTTGAGCTCCGGAGCACAGCATCTGCTGCACAGTCAGTTGTGTAATACAACATAATTGTCTAGCATGCCTTGAAAGTGTACAGGCTTGTGATCATTATACTCTCTCTTATGGCAAGCTTGCATTGCAGCCAGTCCATTATGTGTTCATTGGGGTTATTTCCCCCGCCTGTTGGACTCCCAAGCAGGATGGAAGTTGGTTTTGGCACTGCAAATTGAGCTGAAATAAAGATGACACCAACAAGTGTGTTGACAGCCGGAATAAACTCTCATCCTGCTCCCTATATTTAGCTTTTCTCCTCTGGGGTCACCTTTGAATTCAAATGCTCAAATTATAAATCAAGCAACCTGCTGAAGTCAAAACAAGATGTCACTCACATTCCAAGACAGAAAGCATAGAAATGGATGCAAGTCTGCTGTCTGTGTCTAAAAGGTCTGCTTGTATCAAATGAAAATGACTTATTGAACCCCAGTTTGGAGGCAAACTGTGTTTTGTGCAAACCTTCACTCAGCACCATTACTTCCTATATTCCTCTTCTCCAGTACAAGTCACTGTGGATGTTTTTTTCTGGGAGAAAATGTAGGAACGTGCATTTTATTGGTGTGGTTACATACTGCAAGTCACTACGGATGGAACAAATTAAGAACTTTGACCCAAAAGCAAGATGTTGGATGGTGAAGCTGATGAACAACTGTATTGCATCCTAAAATATGGAGGAAAGCAAGAGTCATAGCCATTCTGAAACCAGGAAAAGACTGTAATGATCCAAAAACCTATAGACCAATCTCCTTGTTGTGCCATCTTTATAGAGTTCTGGAGAGACTTATTTTGCATGGAATTATGACCCATGTATGATTCCACAGCAAGCTGCTTTCAGGAAAGGGAAAAGCTGCACATCACAAATATTGAACCTGGCTCAGCACATAGAAGTTGATTTTGAAAGGCAGCATATTAAAGGAGCTGTCTTCATAGACCTGTCAGCAGCATATGATACTGCAAATCATCACATTCCCATGAGAAAAATTTCATAATGTCACAAAGGATTACCACCTTACCTGCTTCATAGGAAATCTGCTACAAAACAGAAGCTTTTTTGTTGAGTTCCTGGGTCAAAGAAGCAGATGGTGAAAACAGAAGAACGGCCTGCCTCAGGGGAGCATGCTTGCTTCATCAACGTTTAACATTTACACGAATGATCAGCCACTGCCAGAAGGGAGAGAGAGCTTCATCTATACTGAGGATTGTGCCATCACCGCTCCAGCAGGGAGTTTTGAAATGGCTGAACAGAAGCTCTAGGTCAGTGGTTCTCAACCTATGGGTCCCCCAGGTGTTTTGACTTACAACTCTCAGAAATCCCAGCCAGTTTACCAGCTGTTAGGATTTCTGGTAGTTGAAGGCCAAAACATCTGGTGACCCACAGGTTTAGAACTACTGCTCTAGGTGCTCTTACTGCCTATTACAGGGAAAACCAGCTGATTCCTAATCCATCTAAAATGCAGATGCGTGCTTTTCATCTTAAGAACAGACAAGTTTCTCGAACTTTGGGGATGACCTTGGAAGGAATCCCACTGGAGCATTGCAGCACACTCAAATGCCTGGGAGTTACTCTGGACCTTGCTCTGACTTACAAGAAGCACTACTTGATTATCAAGCAACAAGTAGGTGCTAGAAATAATATTGTACAAAAGCCGACTGACACAACCAGGGGATCACAACCAGACACAGTGAAGACATCTGCCCTTGCACTTTGCTACTCTGAGTATGAATGCCCAGTGTGGAATACCACGTTGCGTGGAAACCATGCTAAAACAGCTCTTAATGAGACATGCCACATTATCACAGGATTCCTATGCCCTTCACCACTGGAGAAATTATACTGTTTAGCTGGCACTGCACCATCTGACATCCGCCAGGAAGTAGCAGCCAATAATGAAAGAACCAAGGCATTGACATCTCCGGCCCATCCTTTATTCGGATATCAGCCAGCAAGCCAATGCCTTAAATAAAAAAAAACAGCTTCCTAAGATCTACAGAGATACTCGCAGGAACACCTCAGCAAGCCAGAGTCCAAAAGTGGCAGGTGAAAACCCAGAACCTCAATCCATGGCTGATACTGGCTGAGAAACTCCCCCCTGGGCACACAGAAGACTGGGTGCCTTTGAAGGTGATGAACAGACTGCACTCTGGTACCATGAGATGCAGAGCTAATCTTAAGAAATGAGGTTACAAAGTGGAGTCCACAACATGTTAGTGCAGAGGACAGCAAACCACAGACCACCTACTACAATGCAGCCTGAGCCCTGTCACATGCACAATGGAGGACTTTCTCACAGTGACACCAGAGGCACTCCAAGTGGCCAGCTTTTGGTCAAAGGAAATCTGGTTTAATGCCAAGTTTTTAACTTTGTGTGGTTTTTTAAATACATTATAACTATACCCTCAATTTGCTTCTGAAAAGATTAATAAATAAAATATTGGTGTGGTCTTGTGTGTATTTTGTTATATGTATTTTAATAGTGTTGTGTTTCATCTCTCTGTTTTAACCCTACCCCACCTTGAGCCACAAGGAGCTATGAAGCTGCAAAGTCAAAGTGAGGGTATCTGCATAGAGGTAGTGAAGCAAGTGCTATACACACACACACACACACCTGTGGAATAATGTCCAGTATGGGAGAAAGAACCCATGTCCATTTAAAGCAACTGTGAATGTTGCAGTTAGCAAGCTTGAATAGCACTAAGTAGCCATGAAACTGCAAAGTCAATTAGTGAGGGTATCTGCATAGAGGTATTGAAGCAAGTGGAGTGTATATAGCAGTGAGTCACCACAAAGTTTGAAAAGCCAATCAGTGAGGACAACAGAGGCAGGGCTACCTCCAGAGGCGGCTCAACACATTACACAAAGTAAGCATTTGCAGTATAGTTGATTTTGCCCAGGGGTGCTCTTGAGGCGCTCTTGGGGGAAAATAGACCTTGACACATGCGAGTTGTAGTTACTGGGATGTATAGTTCACCTACAATCAAAGAGCATTCTGAACTCCACCAATGATGGAATTGAACCAAATATGGCACACAGAACTCCCACGATGAACAGAAAATATATATCAGTGATTGGTTGGGGGCGGGGGGGGGGGGGGCAAACTACTGTTTGCTTACCGTTGAAAATTACCTAGGGCTGCCTCTGGCTACCTCTATGCAGATATCCTCACTGATTGACTTTGCATTCAAATTTCCGAGTCTAAAAAACTATTTCTATTGAAGCAAGGCTGCATGTCTTGCTGAGAGACATGTGTTGCCAACTCCTGTACAGAAAGTTACAAGTTATCTCTTTGAAGAAGCGCAATTTAGTTTCCAAATAGTCCTAGTTTGGCAAGAGTGAAAGCTGAGTTGCAGATTCCCCAAAAATGGTATGGAGGGCAGCCTTACGGTTCTTGGTTGTTCATGACTTTGATGAGTGCTTGCACCAGATCTTCCTTTGTAAGGTCCTGGCTGTGCTGGATGACATCCATGAAGAGCTGTTTTCCATACTGGAGTTTCTTCCACGGCGTATCCAGCAATGAATTGCTCAGGCCATAGACCCCTGTGGGGCAGGGTAGAGAAAAAGTTAAATGCATGCAGCAGATGAAACTCTTTATTATTTGAAAATGAAGAAAAGAGCTTGCATATCCAAGTGCCACCCTACACTGCAACTTCACCTTCTTGGTTCTATGTCTCCAAACTGTGCCTATGATGAGGACTTCTCCTCATAACTGAGTGGGATTGGAATTGAAGTCTGCTCAGGGCTAGTCCAGCACGTCAATCGATGCACAACGTTGCCTATATTTCCCATTATCTGTGATATTACCCATGGCCCAAGGGCTGGGTTTCTGGTGAAGCGGTTTCATGAGTTGCCGCATTCTGTACATGTTTTCCTCCAGTATAATAGCAAATGAAAGACATTGTATTCACATATATCTCACATACACACTTTAAGAATTGTATACCCTTTTTTTGCCTTCCTAAAAAGAAGTTGCACAGATTTACTAGCTGACAAAGGAGCGGCAGAACCAGTAACCAATCATTCAAATACATTTACAGCAAGCTAATAAAAGAAAGTCAAAGATAAAAACAGAGGGCCAAAACTAAGAGTGTTTGTATTTTGAGATAAGTTTTTTTAATCCTCACTAGCACTTCTTCTTAAACTGGGGGTGCTGACCACAAATGGGGTCCCCTTGGCGCAATGCTGAGGTCATGAAAAAATGGTCTCTGAACACCACCTAGTTGCTGCTTTAGACATGTACACAAATTTGTTGTGCAGTGTTTACAGTGGACTCTGCTGAAAATGCTTCAGCTCTACTTCATGACAAAGAAAATCCACCTGTTTAGCAAGCCTTGCAAATGCTAATTTATCTTCAGTAAATGTTTCATTTTTGGACCTATTTTATATGCTGATATACTTGGGGTCACATACATTTATATCATGACGTCCAACTTCATCACTTCTTTCCAGCCACTACTAAGGAGGCTGTCCAGGTCCTGAACCAGTGCTTGGCAGCTGTGACAGTCTGGGTGAGGGTGAACAAATTGAAACTGAATCCAGACAAGACAGAGGTACTCTTGGTCAGTCAAAAGGCAAAACAGGGTATAGCCTACGCTGGATGGGGTTACACTCCCTCTGAAATCACAGCTATTCAGCTTGGGAGGTCTCCTGGATGTTTCACTGAGTTTTGAACCCCAGGTCTCGGTGGTGACCAGGCCTGTAGCGAGGGGGGGGGGGTTAGGGGTTCAACCCCCCCCCCCGAAATGTTTCAGATTAAAAAAAAACCTGGTTTATTTATGAATTTTAACTGGTTAACCAAATCCCCATGCTAAGATGCAAAAAATTAAGAGTCCCTCCAGAACTGCAAGCACTATCTCAAGCAAATATTGACAATTTATTATTATTATTATTATTATTATTATTATTATTATTATTATTATTATTTACTGTATTTGTATACCGCCTTTCTCAGCCTATCGGCGACTCAAGGCGGTTTCCAACAAAACAGTATACATAGTATCATAATACAATTTAAAAACATTAAAATTACATAAATCACAACAGCAATAAAAACAACATCATTGGCGTCTCCTTATTGTCAAGCATTGTCCAATTCCATCGTCAGTTATCCGTTCCTATATCAGTTGTCTGTATCCGTTACTCTGTGTTTGTGAACGCTTGCTCAAACAGCCATGTTTTGAGTTGCTTCCGAAACATTAAGAGGGAGGGAGCAGATCTAATCTATCTGGGGAGGGCGTTCCATAGCCGGGGAGCCACCGCTGAAAAGGCCCTGTCTCTAGTCCCCGCCAAACGTACCTGTGACGAAGGCGGGGCCGGGAGCAGAGCCTCTCCAGATGATCTCAAGGTCCTAGATGGTTCATAAGGGAAGATACGCTCATACAGGTAAGTTGGGCCAGAACCATTTAGGGCTTTATAGGCTAGAACCAGCACTTTAAATTTATTCACACTGTCATTACTTGCAGCAATAGCCGATGTAGTGAAGCAACCAAGTAGGGAGGGGTGTTGAATGCTCTCATTAAGGAGGCCAGACTTGGTGGAGGTGGCTGACAGGGACGGAGCTGCAGGCTATTAAAGGCTGCTCTGCCCCCTGATGTGCTCTTCGCTTCAGCGTGAGCTAGGAGGCAGGTTTCAACCCCCCCCCCCCGAAAATTTCAACCCCTCCCAAATTATTTTTCTGGCTACGGCCCTGGTGGTGACCAGGGGAGCTTTAGCACAATTAAAATTTGTGCACCAGCTGCGTCCATACCTTGAGAAGCCAGACTTGGCCATGGTGGTCTACGCTCTTCTTACATGTTGAATAAACTACTGCAATGCGCTCTACATGGGGCTGCCTTTGAAGACTGTTTGGAAGCTCCAAGTAGTCCAAACGGTGGCAGCCAGACTGCTCACTGGAGCGGCGTACAGGGAGCATACAACTCCCCTGTTACATCAACTGCACTGGCTGCCAGTCTGCTACTGAGCACAATTAAAAGTGCTGGCTTTAGCCTATAAAGCCCTCAACAGTTCTGGCCTTGCTTACCATTCCTAATGTATCTCCCCCTATGAACCATCATGGAGACTAAAATCTTCTGGGGAGGCCCCGCTCTCGGCCCCATCCCCATTGCAAATGCGGCTGGTGGGGACAAGGGACAGGGCCTTCTCAGTGGTGGCCCCTCGGTTGTGGAACTCCCTTCCTAGTGAAATCAGATTGGCTCCCTCTCTCCTGTCCTTCAGAAATAAAATTAAGACCTGCTTATGGAACCAAGAGTTATAGAGAGTAGTACAGGGCAACATGCTGCTTTGAAGTGAATGGAATGTAATGTAATTGGAACAGCTTCTGGTTTATGATTTCGGGTCTCCATGCAATGTGTAACAGCATGTTTAATGTATTTATATCCTATTGTTTTTATTATTTGTTATGATTTTAATGCATTATGTATTGGTATGTTTTATGTTTAATGCGGCATTGAATATTGCCAATTTGGAAGCCACTCTGAGTCCCTTCTGGGGTTGAGATAGAGATAGATAAAAATGCAGTAATATATATATGTTGTTGTTCATTCGTTCAGTCGTCTCCGACTCTTCGTGACCTCATGGACCAGCCCACGCCAGAGCTCCCTGTCGGCCGTCACCACCCCCAGCTCTTTCAAAGTCAGTCCAGTCACTTCAAGGATGCCATCCATCCATCTTGCCCTTGGTCGGCCCCTCTTCCTTTTGCCTTCCACTTTCCCCAGCATAATTGTCTTCTCTAGGCTTTCCTGTCTCCTCATGATGTGCCCGAAGTACTTCAACCAGGATGGACTGGTTGGATCTTCTCGCAGTCCAAGGCACTCTCAGAACTTTCCTCCAGCACCACAGTTCAAAAGCATCGATCTTCCTTCGCTCAGCCTTCCCTAAGGTCTAGCTCTCACATTTGTAGGTTACTACAGGGAATACCATGGCTTTGACTAGGCGGATCTTTGTTGCCAGTCTGATGTCTCTACTCTTTACTATTTTATCGAGACTGGACATTGCTCTCCTCCCAAGAAGTAAGCGTCTTCTGATTTCCTGGCCACAGTCTGCATCTGCAGTAATCTTTGCGCCTAGAAATACAAAGTCTGTCACGGCCTCCACATTTTCTCCCTCTATTTCCCACTTGTCAATCATTCTTGTTGCCATAATCTTGGTTTTTTTTGTTTAGCTGCAACCCAGCTTTTGCGCTTTCTTCTTTCACCTTGATTAGAAGGCTCCTCAGCTCCTCCTCGCTTTCGGCCATCAGAGTGGTGTCATCTGCATATCTGAGGTTGTTAATGTTTCTTCCAGCAATTTTCACCCCAGCCTTGCATTCATCAAGCCCCGCACATCGCATGATGTGTTCTGCATACAAGTTAAAAAGGTTGGGTGAGAGTATGCAGCCTTGCCGTACGCCTTTCCCAATCTTGAACCAGTCTGTTGTTCCGTGGTCAGTTCTGACTGTTGCTACTTGGTCCTTGTACAGATTCCTCAGGAGAGAGACAAGGTGGCTTGTATGCCCATCCCACCAAGAACTTGCCACAATTTATTATGATCCACACAGTCAAAGGCTTTAGAATAGTCAATGAAGCAGAAGTAGATGTTTTTCTGAAACTCCCTGCCTTTCTCCATTATCCAGTGGATATTGGCAATCTGGTCTCTCGTTCCTCTGCCTTTTCTAAACCCAGCTTGAACATCTGGCTCACATACACACACACACACACACACACACACACACACACACATATATATATAAGGCCCTGCTCTATAGTAGGATAAAGTGTGAACAACAGAATCTGAACTGAGATCCATTTGTATTTTTCAAGAGAATATATACCAAAATGAGGCCAATCTCACTCAGAATCAATATCTGAGTTCAATGCTGTGAAGAAATTCCCTTTTAGGCTCATGTTTGTGGATCTAAGGGTTCCAGTATAAAGCAATGTGAAGCCTGACATTTGCCTACCCCTGCTTCAGAAAAGCCATATTAAAATGTTCTGAATCTCAACTGCCCTTTCCTAAGGGTTTCATTTGTCTTCCTAAGGGAAACCTTTTCATGGTTCAATTGTTTTTTTATTTTATTTTATTCATTGAATTTACATCTTCTTCCTCTCCAGAATGGCATTCAAGGTCATTTACAATACAATTAGATAAGACAGTGAATCAGAAACCAAAGCTGCCTTAGGTCTCTTGGTGGAGAATTGTCAGATATATAGTAATTAGTTAAATAATAAATAAAACAACTACCAACTAACTGAGGGGTAGTGCTCATCTCAATTTCTAAGTCGAAGAGCCAGCGTTGTCCATAGACACCTCCTAGGTCATGTGGTCAGCATGACTGCATGGAGCACTGTTACCTTCCTGCTGATGAAGTACCTATTGATCTACTCACATTTGCATGTTTTCAAACTGCTAGGTTGGCAGAAACTGGGGCTAACAGTGGGAGCTCACCCCATCTGTGGATTTGAAGCGTCAACCTTCCAGTCAGCAAGTTCTGTAGCTCAGTGGTTTAACCCACCGCATCACCACGGCCTCAGTGTGTGTGTGTGTGTGTGTGTATGAATAGATAG